TATATATATACTTTTTAAACCAGCATAAAGTGAAAATTCTGTGATAAAATAGTCTACCTACCATTAAAAAAAGAGTGGGCAGGGCCTCATTGGGGGCCGAAAAGAAGTCACGCGTGGGCCGGATTTGGCCCATGGGCCGTCAGTTGCCCATCTCTGATTTATACCATACTACATGTCTGATTAGAGTTATAATTAAAATACCTTTATCAAGTGATATCAAAACTACATGTTGCTCCTACAGTAATGCAAAAATAATCCAACGTGTAAAAGACAATTAGATCTAATTAAACAATTTAAATAGTCAAATTTAGCTCTTTTTTAAAAAGACTGGTGTAAAGTCCCTTTTAACAGGTGTTTTAGTGTTACTTTATAATTTAAAGAAGCTGCAATTTAAAGACAAATATACTTAAAACAAAACAGCTTCACACTTAATTGGCCTTAGTAAATGAATTAATATATGTACATTGTAAAACAATATAACTATTGAATAATTGYTTTTTCTTATTACTTAAAATAAATAATTCCAACAATATTTCAGTATTTTAAAATTTCTGCAATTACAAGTACACAGGTAAATAGATAATATCCGTAATTACTACAATTTACTTAGTGAACTTTTACATGTTGTGCAGTTATTTTCGCATTACATTTTTAAAATTGTTTTCTAAGCCATGAGGAGAAACACCATTAATACATAAAGTCGGTACCGGGCCGAGCCTGGTACTGTGGTAGCAGGACTACAGAAAAACAATTACCCAAGTGAGGCCAGCAGGAGGGGCCATGCTGAGGTGTTCGAGCAGCCGTAAAACCTGCCAGCGTGTCGTAAACCAGGTGTTTCGCTAAGGTGACGTCGTAAAAGGCGGAGTGGGGAGGAGGGAAGGGGATGGGAGGGGTGAGGATGGGTGAGGGAGGGGAGGGGAGGTAACTCGCGAGCGGCTGCGCCTCAGACTCAGCGCGAGGATCATGGCGGATGGCCCCAGGTGTAAGCGCAGAAAACAGGCGAACCCGAGGAGGAGCAGCGGTAAGTCCCGACTTCCCCCCACCGCCTGTAGCCGCCGCTGGGCGAGCCGCGCGGGGCTGTCCGCGGGCTTCGAAACTTCCTCCCGGGTTACTTTTGTGAGTGAGTTGGAGCCCATTTCTGCGACTTTTCGAGCGGATCCCTGGGAGTGTGGCGGCGGTGTACCGTTATACCTGGCTGGCTTGTCTCCCTCCGCCTAGCGGTGCATGGTGGCCGCCTGCCGGAGTGGACCGTTATCCGAGCGATAATAACCCTCGGAGCGCTTCGTACTCGGATGTTTTCCCCACTTTTATACCACTTTCCCCCCATCTTTCTCTAGTACTTTTAGCTACTTTAACTCTTCTTCTTGGCGGCAGGTTGAGGGGCTTTCACGTAACAACGTGGCCCGCTGCAGTTATGGGATTTTTTTTTTCTTTTTTAGGGCGAGGTTGATAGTTGTTTCGCTAACTCGGCTCCGGACGGAGCCTTTTTTATTGTTGTTTGTTTCGTTTATGTTTTTTTCACCCATCTTTTCATCGTTCAAAAAATAAAACAACTTTACGTGTTGCTTTTACGGCCGCGTGGTAAATTAGAGTGTTGATGTTCATCACGTCTGGGCTGT